TCATCTGTATCACTTGTATCAATTGTATCACTATCCACCACAGAGGCTTGCAGGGCCTCTTTGTCAAACCCCTCAAAGCCCATATAAGTCCATATCCTCACTATCACTATCACTGACTTGGGCCGGCTGTGGTGGGTGGCGGGTGAAGAACTCGGTAATGTTTTGATGACTGGGCGACCTTGTGCGCACCCTGCTCGCGCCGCTCTCCGCGTAAAAGGGTACACACACCGCGGAAAGTGAGCATTCCAGTTTCGGCAGGGTACCGCGTAAACGTGGAAACGCGTAAAGTGGGACCGCGTAAAGCGAGGGTTGACTGTACTTTTAATATTTGTTTAATTTAAGTTTCTAGCAGTCCATGGTGCTTTAGAGACATGGGAGGTGTATAATTTGTGGGTCAGAGGTGTACTGTATTGTTGAATTATATTTACCTGACCTCGGTTGGTCCGGCAAAAAGGATAATCCGGCAAGGCTTTGGAACCAAGGGTGCCGGAAAATCGGTGGTGCACCTGTATTTACCTAAAATTACAAGTTAGAAAATAACCATAATATAACATAGAACTCACACGTGAGGCATGATTGGAAATATCCCTGCTTGTAAATTCAGAAGTCCGCAACTCGTGGAGTGTCTGTACATAGATTTATAGAATTGTGATTCAACTGGCAGAATTGTGAACCTTTAACAAGTTTGCAAACTCAATACACCAATGTAAATCTGGGTTGACGTACCCAATCCTGGTATAGTACATGAAATTAGTAACCACCTCCATTTCTATTCCCTTACATGATAAACCTGGAGTTTCTGTGTTTTGCTTTTAAGCTCGGTAGTTCACATATTAGGTTTAGAGTTTCAAATTAGAATATATTGTATCATTAAATTTGCTCCCTTCCCCAAGTACTGTAATTTGGAATCCTCTTTCCTTCTTTAGGTTCTTGATTAGTTAATTGGAAGTAAATTTAAAATGACAAATGGCCTGGAATCAGAATGGCATGCAGTAATCTTAATAAGCTGTGTACTGATTGATCAAACATGGCTCTTACCACTCTTGGGGTTTTCATATGCAAATTTGTGTATGAAGTAAAAAAAAAATAATTAAATAATTTTATGTTTGTATATGAATGCTAGACATGAAAGATGCACATTTGGCAATGTCAGTGCAATCTAGCAACTATGTAGACTGCACTCCAATGTCACCACACCAGTCTCCTTCTTGTGTTTAAAGGACCCAAAATATAACATTGATCCACATTTCCCATGCATTTACTTGCAGCTTGTGCTGATTTCTCATGCATCACAGTGATTTTATTTATTCATACCCTGTAAGTGTTGTTAGAATTTTGAACCATGCCTCGTGTTGCTGGCAAGGGTGGAGGGGTGAGAAAACATAAAAAGTGTAAGGAGATTGCACCACGTGGTGATAGCTTGGTGCCTGGATGCACTCATCAGAATGCATAATTTACATTACTATTACTTAGCGAAATATTAATTTTTTTTAATTTGCTTTCTTTTATAACTATTTTTTCCTACATATGTACACTTTATAATGGAATAAGGTTCATGTTGCAATCACATGAAATAAAGAAGGTATAAAGTGATGTACTGTACAGTAAACCCTCACACAGGGCTTAGGTTCTAAGGAATGGCGCAAATTGGTAAAACCGTGAATAGCAACTAATTAGGGTTGGGATATATCGCGAGATAGGGTCCAAGGTTGTTCGCTATATACTAACTCGCGATATATAATTATATGTAATCAATGGGGGAAATAGGGTTAGGTTCTGGAGGCCAATAAAAGTGACCAAACTTGATATAAAATGGCACAGTCTAAAGTTAGCAGAATATAAATTGTATTGCTGGAATCCTTGCAAGACAGCGAATAATTTGAATATGGACATCATATATTTTGCACAAAAGATAAAAATTTTAGTCGTGTGTACTAATTAAATACCACTAAAATTTTTGTCTTTTGCGAACTACAGTATAGCATGTTTATATTCAAATTGATCACTATCTTACAAGAATTCCAGCTATGTTAATTATATTCTCTTAAGCCAATTCATTGACATTTTATTAGAGAAAAACATAAACTCCCCTTATATGACAGATAAATAAATACCACTAGGTATCCCTTGTCTGGCTCTGGCCCAGCTGTCATAATACTGTATATCAACTCCCCTCTGACTTCCAGTAAGAGTGACTGTAGTTTTTATGCTTAAAGTTTTGATCTTATAAAATGTCACAGACTAAAGTTAGCAGAATATTAATTGCATTGCTGGAATCCTTGCAAGACATCATATATTTTGCACAAGATATAAAAATTTTAGCTTTGTAATAAAATTACTAATTAAACTAAAATTTGTATGTCTCTTGCAAACTATAGCATGTTTATGTTCAAACTAATCACTCTCTTATAAGTATTCCAGCAATGTTAATTATATTCTCCCAGGTCAGTTCAGTGACATTTTATAAGAGAAAAACTTAGTCACTCTCAAGGACAGATAAATCCTGGAATCCTTGCAAGACAGCGAATAATTTGAATATAAACGTCATATATTTTGCACAACAGATAAAAATTAATCACCTGTACTTATCACATTACAGTAGTGATTTATGAGTTCTAGTGTATATGTACGAGTATGTGCGCATGTGTGAGCGCCACAGCTGCACAGTGACAACAAGCGACCATGCGGTCGCCACTTTAAAACAAGCAATCAAACTGTGACAACGTATGTAATTTTTAGTCCTACTCTTTTCATTTACAGAGTACTGTACAAGCCCATAATAATGGCTCCTAAAGTAGATAAACTTCTTTGTGTGAAGAGAAAGAAGAACAGGTTGAAATTGAGTGACAAACTTGAAATAATTAAGAAACTAGAACGTGGTGTGAGCAATACTGTTCTAATGGAAACATACGACATTGGAAAGTCTACAATTTATGATATAAAAATGGCAAAGAATAAAATTGTAGAATTCACAGCTTTTTCTTTAAAACTGCTCGTTTTGATAAATGAAGCATGCTATCTTTGCTAATGAATAAACTATCAAAATGTACCTGTTCATCTCTTCTTTATTCGTTAAATTTGAATTTTAAAAATACTGCCAGAGAATCCGGAAAATCCGAAAATCCGGACCAACCCAATCTCCAAGTAGCCCGGATTTTTGGACTTCTACTGTATATATATAGTGATTTGAGGGCGATTTAGGAGTGTTTCTGACTTTACACGAGGTCCCAGGAACATAACCCTCGGCAACCCTCGCGTAAGTTGCGAGTCTACTGTATATTGGAAAATTAAAATAATTTTGGTAGTATTGATAAATTTGAAATATTTCCTGCACGATTTCCCTCGCAAAAAAAAAAATTATCACTATCATAGGAAAATGTCGATAATTTTGGTAGCCACCATATAAAAAAATCGTCATATAAAGTCACTGTATATCCCGGCCCTACTGTACTACCTTAGTGCACTACTTTGTACCTATACAGTGTATGAGAAACTTATAGTCACTTAAATTACTCTCCTTTGTATGTGGAAGTTTGGAGCCTGATGAAGTGTACTGTACAGTAGAATAAAATCTGGTTACTAAGCATAAGGAGATCATTAGGATCACTGTTGGAAGAGGGTGATGCAGAGGTGGAGTGGTGGCAGCAGCTGACCGAGTCGGTGAGGGAGATGAATCAGCTGGGCGAGTGGCTAGTTCTTCCTTGAAAAACTTCGTGATTGGTAGTTGTTTTGTCTTGGCTTTGAGGTTTCTAAACATTTCATTCTACTAGCATCACTAGCACTGACACTAGGCAATCTTTTAAGGGCCATTTCACACAGTAACATTAAAGTTTTCAGTACAACACATGAGATGCTGCGTTGCAGGCACAGGTTGAGCACAAACAAAGGGAGAGGAGTGAGAGGAGATGCTGCAGGCACATAGGGGTGACTCGTTGCATTGCGGGCAGGTTCATAAGCTAGCCATCATCTGCTTACCGTGAATAGTCGAAATTGCGAATCGCAAACCCGCGAATAGCAAGGGTTACTGTATAAACATTTTCATTAAGTGTAAACAAAAATTTTGTGTTCTACTCGTGCTTACATATAGAAATAATTATTTTATCATGATTACTCCTATAAAAGTATTTGTTGATAATATATTTGCAATGTTAATGCAACAAACCTCACCTTTTTATCTAAAATAGCAAGCTTGCTATGATTCATTACATACAATTATCTCTCATGTGGTGCAGTCAATTGTGGTGATGTGAGTAACAGGCCAGACCCCAAGTGTCTTGCCTCAAGAGGCCAATTGTTGTATTGAATTAACCCCATTTGAGGTAAATGGTGTGATGAAAAGATAAGGGTGCTTGGTGTGTACAGTATATGCTAAATTGACTAATAGATCAAATTCCATAATGTTGCTTTTTTGGAGGACATAGACTCCCTAGCAAGAAGCTCTTTATTGTGAGCCACCTGGCTTAGTGCTTTGCCAGGAAATACAATTGCAGGGTCAATTCTTCATTATTTGTTTCATCATCAGCAAAGTATGAAAAATGGTTTATACTAAACAGTACTTGAGGAATTTATACTATTGGCTAAAAATCACAAATTAATGGAAGTACAGTTGCATATTATTTCCGTGACTTATGTAGGTGTGTACAGTTCTTAGTAAAATGCAAGTGCATGCATTCAACTAAATTTTTTTTAATACATATTTAACTGCTTATACTTTCTTGATAATTTCACTTCATTGTACAGTAATCAGTTGTGTGCAGTGTGAATCTCGAGTGGGAGGTGGACCTCACCTGTTTATCGGCCAAAACAACTACAGTATTCACATGGCCAGGCATGAATAAGTGTAGATAGTAAAATTTGTACTTCAATAATTCAGATGTGATTAGCTTAATGCATGCCCATTGATGTGACAAGCTTGTATTAGATGTGAAATGTGAGTAAATGTTTCTTTGAAAGATATATGACATTGAATAAATATATATTGGTTGATGATTTTATTACAGGACGAAGTGATGGCACTGTAAATAAAGAGGAGATAGAGGGAGCTGGAGATGGGCAACCAGAAGAAATAAATAGTGATAAATTAAACTATGAAGATGATTTGCCTGATGCAGCATTTGCTGGGGTAGAAAGAAAGGACCAAGTATACATGGTAGATGTAGAAAATGCAGTTTCTTATGCATTAGGACATGAAGTGGCACAACATAAAGTTATCAGAGGAGATTCAGTTAAAGCACTTCATGACTTTCTGGATGTACTTGTAAGATATCTCCCTGCTAGACCAGCTGTCCATCACTTCCTTACAAAACTGTATCAATATACACTTAGTCACAGTGACAGAATTGAGGGAGAACAGTTTGCTGAAGTTATTAAGTCTCTTCAAGGCCCAGATTCTGTCCTCCCAAATCATCAACCCTGGATTGGGTGTTTAGGAAGTGAACCAAAGTACAGAGGCTATCCATGTGGTCTTTGGACAACATTCCATATACTGACAGTAAATTCAGTACTTCAGGATGGGAATAGTGAGTTATACAGACCTAAGAAAACATTGCAAGCTATTCATGGATATGTAAAGCATTTCTTTAGTTGTAAATACTGTTCAGAGCATTTCCAAGCTATGTATGCAAAAGATGCAGAATCATCTGTAATTGTTGCAGATGATGGAATACTCTGGCTATGGCGAGGCCATAATAAGGTCAATAAACGCTTGAAAGGGGATGAAAGTGAGGATCCCAAGCACCCAAAGCAGCAATTTCCTTCTAAATCAGCATGTCCATCTTGTTGGAATGGTGAGACATTAAAGGAAAAGGAAGTCTTGACATACTTAAAAAATATTTATGCAAAAGGAGCCCTTTCATTTAAAGGCACCCAGACAATTGTAGTCCCACCAAAAAATAAACAAGCAAAAGTCAGAGAACAATTAGAAAAACACAAGCAAAGAGAAAGAGAAGTAGAAGCACTGGTTGTAAACAAGAAGCGTCACAATGTCAGTGAGGACCAACCTCTTCGCCCTCTTAGCACTTGGGGCTTCAACAACACAGACATTAGCTTATGTGTCTTCTTGTATGGGATTTCTACCATCATCATTATGAGTGTGTACTGTATGGTAGTAATCAGAAGGAAAATGAGAAGAAGGAGGTTCTTAGAAACGTACAAATTGCCGTAAGTTACCCAAAGTTTGGTTATTTGCATAATTTTGAAAGATTTTATTAAAGGCAGAGTCAGTGATATTTGAATTATCCAGAAAAGTATAGCTAGTTTACATATACAACAAATTCCTTGTGCCAGATGTTTTGTACATACACTCTATAGTATATATATTTTTGACATAATGGAAGCAGTTGTTATTAAAGGTCTGCATGAGTAGATGTTACAGGTTATATTATTTTTATATTTTTATAGAGTGGATAACTTGGGTATCCCCATGTTTTTAATATTTGATCTTAGATTTTGAGAATTCTCTATCTTTGTATGCATATTTAAGGGAGTTGCTTAACTTCTGTTATGACAAAAGAAATATGTAATCTTTGGCAAAATTTCATGTTGTCAGTTCCCAGAGTGTGTTAGCCCTTTAAGAGGGCAGGGTTCCTCTCAGCTGAATAAATTATCTGGCATAAGCCAGACTACATTGCAGTCTGAAGGGTTAATATGTTGAATCATTGACCCAAGATTTTAAGAAAGTTATTCAATTCTCTGTGGAATGTGGCACTAGGTAATGATAACTTTGGATAAGTGATATTGAGTCCCTCTAAATTCCTGGGGTTCATTGATGTGTATAAGAATCTAATTAAAGGTGGCAAGTGTATTGTCCACCCTAATTAGTTCATTCATTACAACCAGAATTTGCACTTAATTTAATAAATATTTTGGATTTAAAGATATTACCAAGTACAGTAGTGTGTCTTATATTCTGTGCTTTTTGTCTTCACAAGCAGACAATATTAGAATATTTTTCTTTCCTGAAAAACTTCATTTGGAAGGATTTACATAAATTATTATTTTAATTATTTTTAGTTTGGCATGTAGTATGTGTGGTGATTCTAAATATTTGTGATACTATGCAATGTGATATGAATTACATGTGATCTGACTAATCTTTTTATATCTGTACTAGTTGGAAAGTAAATTATTGGGTGATTTTCTCATCATCCAGTTGGGTAGTATTAAGTTATAATACTTTAGTGTTACATTTGTATATCTGAATGCTTGTATCTTCAAACACACAAACATGCATGTGTTTATATACAGCTACTGCACATTGATGTGTTATGCAGTCACTCACCCATACAAATTCACATGCATGTAGTTGCACACACACAAAAGTATATGCATATGCACACATGTAAATCCAAGCAGGCATGCAATCATGTGCTCATATATTATTTTTTTAACCCCCTACAAGTACAGTGTTATATAAATGTACTTAATGAGATTTCATACATTCCAATATACTAGTGAAGGTCACAACTTACAGTATTTATAGTTTGTAATGGGCAGATTCATATTATTTTATGGCTTCTATATTAAGAAGTAATACTCTCTTCTTAAGCAAATTTGTTTTAGATATATTTCTGTGTCCAGGTAAATATCAACTGTTAACAGTTGTGTTTTAAATCTTTGACCAAGACTCTTTGACATTGCTCATCAGATTTAGCCAAATTAAAACAAAATTTATTCTATATTTGTATGAAAAAGATTTTAAACTTTTAATGGTTATCACTTTCTTCCTGTTTCCAGATTTCACATAGAATATTTTTCTTTTTACATTTACAAAAAGGATCATTTAAAACTAATCTTTGATGATAAAATAATTTTAAATTTTTTACTTAATTTGGAAAATCAAATTATTCGAGATGTAATTGGTGTTGCTAATGTGAAAGTTCTTTAAGCTTGTTTTTGTCAGAGCTTTGGATATAAGATTTTCAGCAATATCAATAAAATAAATTATTAATTGGATTATATAATCATTGCTATTATTTTCACGACTGAATCCCTTATGAAGATAACCTCTGACCTAGGTAGTGTAGAACCTACAGTATAAGAAGTGTACTTTAGCAAGTTCTGAGGGGAGAAACAAATGCAAATGGGATGAGTTGTGATTATTAATTGGATTGGTAGATTTGTTTTGGAAAGTCAATGATGATGACATCTTACATATTTGTAAGAAAGTTAAAAAAGAACTATTATTATTTGAAAGTTGTGGTATAGTTTAAAAATTAAGGAATTTTATTTTTTTAAAGAGTATGGCATCTTCATGAATTGTAGAGTTTATTCTTTGATATATAAAAAAAAGTGCAGTTAATCCATACAGTAGTAATAGAGATAAAATAATGATTCTGTCCTAAAAACACAAAATAAGACCGTAAATGGTTTTCATACAGTACAAATAAACCTCAATAAACGATGGGGTTAGGTTCCTGGAAACTCATCACTAAGTGAAATATCATACATAGGGAGCATTATAACATGGGGTTCAATAGGATACATTCCCAGCCAGTCCCCAAACACACATGTATCACCGACAAAAAATTCATACACTTATAAAATCAATAGAAAACCATTAAACAACACTTACTACATCATGAAGAATAAGCCTGGTCATCATCACATATCCCCCTCAAGGTTAAGGTGACTCTTGAAGGTGGAGTGGAGACGTCACTCTGATTCCCACACAGCCTCTGGGGAGTCTCATGCTTCTTAACAATGTCAAACTTCATCGCAGAGACACAGTTGTCTAGGATGCCTTGGCCTTCCCAGACATTTTCAAAGCTACACTGCTCACTTCACAGCCACAAAAACAGAAAAAAACACTTCACAGAAACTGAGCAAACGATGATAATGTAAAAACAGTGATAGCGACAGACACTGCTCGCAACATTTTCACAACAACAGAGGCGAAGCACCTTACAATCACAAAAACACAAAAAATATCACTTCACAGTCACCATAATACTGTCCACTATAAAGAAAAAAAATGATAAGTACATTGTACAGTTCCATTCTGAAGTTCGTTATACTTTACACCTTGGTGGTGGGCGTATAACCTGTTGCACACAGAGTCGAACCGACAGCGGAACAATTTGATTTGAACAAAGACTCATCAAAAAGAGATGGGAAGAATAGTAGAATGAATATCGCCCAACGTTACTGCTGATGGATGATGATGAAGATGTGGTAATATCCTGCTTACGAGAAGAAGAAAACCATAGTGTCAGGAATATTCATTCCAATATCAGAATATAATGAGGAAATTGGTTTCGAGTGAACACCATAAGAAGTACAGTTGAGTCTGGATTTACGCGGTTTTTGTTTACGCGTTTGGTCATTTACGCGGTGCCTTGCCAGAATTGAAATGCTTTAATTATGTGGTAAATTTGGTCATTTACACGGAGAGCACCTGGCGGTCCAACCGCGCCGCGCCATTTTTGGATTCAAACCTCCCACCATTTCCCGCCATGCTTGGGTAAGAGGCGCGAGTAAAGTTGCGCAGTATGTCTCTTGCGTTATCGGTGAAGTCATATAACGTATCGGACTGTGATTGAGCCACGCATCCTTACCTCCCTCCCCTGCTAGCTGTGATTGGTTCAATGTAATATGACGTGCCCTGCCATGGGAGGGAAGAAGCCGCTGGCCCAGCCGCGTCAGTCACTCTCCTCCCAGTCACTCAGTGTAAACTGTGTTCTATTGTGCCCGCTAATCTCGTTAGAATGGCTTCCACTGGACCACCACCACCACAGAAAAACCTTGCATTACCTGGACCCAGCCGCCTCAAGCCAAAGAAGATACGACGTTCCCTAAGTTACAAAATTAAGTACAAGATCGTACAAGATTTAGAAAAAGGAACGAAACAAGTTGATTTGGCGCGCCAACATGGCATGAACGAATCGACGATCAGGACGATCAAGAAGGATGCCGCCAAGATAAAAGAACACGTGAACATCACAAAGTCTGCAGGTGCTTCAATGATGAAGTACTGTCAGAACAAGGTGCTGCTCAAGACGGAGAATTTACTTGTGAGCTACTTGATTCGTCAGGCAAGACGGAACATGGCGGTGGACACGCGGTCTGTTCAGGACTACGCACGTGAACTGTACGTAGCAGTGGCACGTAAGATGGGAATTACAGAGCCCAAACCCTTCAATTCTTCCTCTGGGTGGCTGCAAGGGTTTAAGAAGAGGAACAAGATCACCAACATTAACATTGGGGGTGAAGGAGCGAGTGCTGACCATGTTGCGGCTAGTGATTTTCCTCCGTTCTTACGTGACGTTATGGAGGAAGGACAGTACACCGACGACCAGGTGTTCAACATGGATGAATCCGGTCTGTTTTGGAAAAAGCTACCTTCCAAGACCTTCGTTGCCAAGTCTGCCAGCAAGTGTCAGGGCCGGAAGTTGCAGAAGGAGCGCATCACCGTCCTGTTTACCACCAATGTCTCCGGTACCTGTAAACTCAAGTTATCGGTGATCCACACAGCCCGCAAGCCGCACGCCTACAAGAACATGGACATGACCAAGCTAAATGTCCACTGGCTAACCGCACGTAAGGCGTGGATGTTCACTGCTCTGCCTCTCTCTTGGTTTCATAACCGGTTCGTTCCCAACGTCAAGAAAGTCTGTGAGCAACAGAATGTTCCATTCAACATTTTGTTGCTCTTTGACAATGCACCAGGACACTCACCCCTACTGTTGGATTGTCACCCCAACGTAAAAGTGGTCTTCCTTCCTCCCAGCACTACGTCGTTAATCCAGCCCATGGACCAGGAGTTGATATGCAACGTTAAGGCTGCATTCTCTACAAAGAAATTTTAGCTCCTGAACGACTACACCAACACCAAGGATGAGTTGCGTAACCTGGGTGACACCGATAGCGATAGCCAGAGCGACGACGAGGAACAAAAGTTGGCGGATCAAGAAGTTCGCGTCAAACAGTTTTGGAATAAATTTAACGTCAAGAAAGCTGTTGATTTCTTGGTGGAGGCATGGAAGCAGCTCTCTGTGGCAACGATTCGTCACACATGGCGGCATATGTTGCAAGGTATCCCAGGTGGGAGGCAGAGTCAACCTGTGACTGGTGAGGTTCAGTCTGTTGCAGTGGACCTTGCAAGAGAAGCTGCGCAGACTGTTACAGCTGCAGGCTTCTCCGAGACCACCAACGACGACATT